TGGATCTGGCAGTGAACGGATCATCGCATTTGGAATTTGGCTTCCACGCCCCTATTGACAGTCTTAAATTTGAAATTGTTGGTAATATTGGCTATCTATTACGACCAACAACAATATCACAATTGAAGTCCGAAGTAGATTCAATCTGGTCTGCTTTTGGCTACTTTGGACTTAAAAAACAATTAAAAAATGATGGGCGTAATAACAAGGTCAGGCTTATAATCTAACGGAGCCTCAAGCTTTTCAACAGAGTTCACTTTGGACTGAATAGACAATTGACGGTCAAAGGCCAAAATTTACAAGCCGCTCATCATTTCCGCCCTGCTAAATGACACGGAAACGTGGACGATGTCGACATTCGATGATGTGGCCCTAAGAGTCTTCGAAAGAAAAGTTTTGTGAACAGCCACCCTGGCTGCCTCATGTGGTTCGAATGGATGGAAAAGCTGCATCTCTAGAGGAAAGGGAAGACTTCCACTACGTTGGAAAGGTCAAGTGGAAAGGACCCGATTATACTGGTTTCAAACCAAAATACCAGGTTTTCAAGATAAGATTTCATATGTTTTGAGAAGGAATTATTACATTTGAAATATTTAGCTTCGTTTAAATTAAACCGATTTAAATTTTTTCGACTCTCTCAACTTCGAGGCGAAGCAGAAATAACTTCCCAATAAAGCATGAAGAATTACGGAAGTGAATAGAAAAGGTTTTTGGACTTTTCTAAGCCATCAAGTAAATTTTAAATAATAACAAACCATTTTGATTATTTATATTTTACAACATAAAAAACGACTTTCTAAATTCTTCAACTCAAAATTGACTGTAAATTATTCATTGTTTATATATGTTTACACGAAAGTACATGATTTCTGCTACTTGCAAGATTGTCTTTCAAATATTTATTTGTTTACTCTCTGCTGCGTTTGGTCTCCTGACATAATATTTATGCTACCAAACAAAACGAATGGCGAATGCCAAAAACTAAGTAAGCTAAACTTTTACCAGCAACATATTGCATACACATATCTATTGGTATGTATGTGTGTACATACTTTAGGTTTATAAATTTATAGTGGCATATGCTGCTGTCGCTCGAATTTTCAGTCTTCTTTGCAAGCTAACCAAAGTTGTTTGTCCAACTTTAGTTTTGAATTACACAATTGGGAATTGATTTCTAAGTTTTTCCTACCAAAGTGTGCTCGTAGATTGCTTGTTGTTTGCTTAAAAATTTTCGAGCTTGGTACTCATAAAGTTTGCGTTCAGCTGTGTGGGTGCAATAAACTGCAAGAAAAGGTCACGTGTTGGCTACGAGTAAATATTTGCAAAATTTTCGAAAAAATGAAAGAGAAATATGTGAGTCAATAGCGTGGTTATATTAGAAAAATTTTTGAAATACAATTTCCCTGGTTGCATATTAAATTTAGTGGATATCATTTCGAAACGATAAAGTAATAATTTGTAAACTTAAAAATGTCAGCCAAAGGTCATTAAATATTTATTAGTTAAATAATTTAGAAATAAAAACTTTTAACCAAAAGTAGCGACTATTTATTTCTATGTATTTAAATCTGTGGTAGTATGTGTAATGACTTTTTTCCAAGTCAAAGAAAATTTTTTTCATATATATTTGCTTTTATATATAATTTATTATGCTCTTTGAGAATTTCATGCTCAATGAAGCGCAGTAATATGTCCTTACTATATTATCACATAATCAGTTATCATATACAAAATGCACATTAAAGAAGAACAAACTTGCATTTCGTTTTATGTACAAATATTTCATGTTGAGTTCTTGTTGAGTAAACAAATTAGCAAATTTAAGACTTGCAGGAACGTATATAAATATTTATACCAATATATATAGACTAAATATGTACACTGCATATGATTTATTTATAGCTAATCATCGTTGCATATCATCGCTTTGACAAATTCTATGTTTTACATAAATCATCTTTAAATATTCTGTTTAGTTATTATTGAAAGTTTGGCTGCCAGAGCGTATGAGTAACATTTTTCATATAAACAAATTTTGAATGATTATGCCAATTACTGTTTACTAAAAATACATTCTTTATTTCACACAGAAAATAAAAATTTATTCTCCTTTAAGCGATGACAAATTTTTAGGAAAACTATTTTGTAGGAAAGTTACTTTAATATAATTTTTTTTATATTATCAAGGAGTATTATTTGTTCATACTTTTCAGTGCTCAAATCTTAAGAATGGAAGTTCTTTTTTTACATATGTACATAGCTATAATGGTGACTGGCAAGTCATTTTTCCTCTTCTAAAACTGAGGTACGCACTATTTATGCAATTTTTATCGTATCAATATTAGCACACCATTTATGCCTTCTTTTCGCTGTTTGGTGTGAGTGAAAGCAGCTCGCTCTCCACCTAATTTTTCTAACGGGGTGGTGGTCTTCCTCTTCCTCTGCTTCCACCAACTTCTACACTATATAATACAACAGTGATGATGAGGGACTTTTACGAGTTTCGCTTTTTCTACTGAGAGCCCAAAGTGAGATTTGTTGATTTCCTAGACGAAATTATCTACGGCCTCAAAGTTATGATGATCAGCAGTGACATTGGAGCTGTATCGACGACTGTTTGTTTGATGACATTTTGTCTCGTCCTTATTCACTACAAGGCCCATTCGCTTGGATTCATTAAAAGCTTATTCAGAGAGAGAGGTGATCTAGTGACCGATACCCACAGTATACTCAATTTATGGAGCGAAAACATCTCCAGCTTCTTCTGTAAGAGTGTGCACCTGCTCTATTTATTGCATTTCATTTAAGAGGCTGGAGAAGTTTTCGCTCCATAAATTGAGTATACTGTGGGTATCGGTCACTAGATCACTCCTCTCTCTCTGGATTTTTTAAGAGAAAAGCTTTTAGGGCGCAAAAAATGTAACGAACCGTTGAAGTTCACCAATGTGAGGGAGATGATGAAAAGGCCAGTAGTCAATAGGGTTGAAGTAAGAGATTCACGCTTACATATAAAGCTTTGGATATCCTTACAGATGTTCTAAAATGAACAACAGCGATTAGAGCACCATATAGGATTCCGAATCCTATAAATGGTGGCAGAGCCGAAAACGACTTGGCATTTATGTAGATACTCAGTTGGTTATTAGGATTTCACTTAAATATAGCATGGAATCGCTGGTGGGTTTTCCATGTAAGGAGGCAATCCAAATGAAATCAAACAAGAAAAGAAAAGTTCAAATTCATTGGGTAAATGTAAATTCATCAATGGCAACGAGATAGTAGATGAATTGGCTAAAGATGAAGACCTTTCAGTGCATGACGTAGCCAAAGACATGACTAGTTCCTTTCAGAGAGTTACAGCTTAAACACAAAATACTCTACGTCGTCAAGCTTGTAGGGTTCGGGAATATACAGGGGAATGTAGAATAGCGTTAATTATATGTAAATGACGTTACTAGCGTTAAAGAGGTGAGTTTCCAGGCTGCTTGCAGGGCTGTTAAGCGGCTTTGTCTATAAATTTGTTTTCGTTGTTGACAATAAAGGCATGAAAGTGAAGGAAGCAAGGAGACAATAGAGCTGGTAATACATGACAAAATAAGCTGATAGATCTTCAATCTGCAAGGCACAAAAAGCCAAAACGTCTAGTTCAATTCGCTAAAGTGCAGATAAATCAGGCAGTGGCATGTGGAACTTTTGAAGAGCACCACTAATCTAACTTAACATAAACATCACACGAGCCATTGCTGAGAGCTATTCCACCTTGACAAAATCCACTTGATCCAATAGGGTCGTTGTGTTACCTATGCCGGTCTAGATAAAGAGAATTCCTTTCACTTTAGCAAATGTTCAAATCACTTGGTAACTTTATGAAATTCAGAAGATTTATGACACCCACCGATGCAAGCTCTGCAAGGCAATCGAAGAAGAAATTTCAGAGAAAACAATAAAGGACCGCATTGTAAGCTGAGCAGTGACAGAGGTAGTGTTCCATCTATTCCTCTTCCTCTTTATCACTGCAGCTGCGGTAAAAGCCGTTTGAGAGTCCTCATAAGATGGTGTCAGGCTATCACACCGGTTCTTATGCTTATGGAGTCTCGGCTTAGAAAGAGTAGAGATTTAGTTCTGTTTATCTCAATTAATTGGTAGATTTGTTTTGTCACATTGCACGTGATTTCGCTCCGCCATCTGTTATTGGCCATTCTGATGAAGGCTAGTCTTAGGAGATACTTTTTCGAGATAAACGATATACCCACCTCATGAGCAGAGTTTACCGTAGTTACCTTGGTAAGGGAAATGTTCACTCTCTGGCCCGTTTGTCGGCTATATAATTCCTTACGGTGTCCCTGAGAGACCAGAGAGCCAAACTACGAACATTTCCTCTACAGTAGAGAGTTTGTTTAAGACCTCTTTGCTATATCGGGCAAATATGGTGCTGGACGTGTTTCTTCGATTCAAGCGAGCGCAATCAAATCATTTGTTATTTTAGCAGTGCGGAATGCCACGATGTCATGATGTAAAGAGTAGCGCAGCAAATCCTCCTTCTTCCTGTTTCCCAACAAATTTTTGAAAACTTTTGGCTATCATTCTTCGGTGTACCAGTTTGCAGTTACCGTCTGACTCTATTCCAGTGGAATCTGAGGAATCGTCCTCTATGGAAGGCTATGCTTTTTGGAATCCCCGGAGCCATTACAAATTGTATCTAAAAACGATGTAATCGTTCCATATGTAACTTGGCATGCACTGAATATTTTTATTGGCTATAAGTTACCCCGAGATCTGAAGAGAATCACAAAGCGAATTTCTGTTTGCGTTCCTGGTGGAGCTTTTGCTAATCTCTTCTTAAATCTGAGAATGACAAATGCCGCGTTAATTACGAAATTCGCAAATAATATTCATCTGAGTGAGGTGAAAAAATTTCTTAAAATTTTAAAATATTTTGCTTAATATATATTTATTTAATGAAGTGTTTTTGTGAAAATATTCTTCCACTTCTTACTCACTTGATCTCTGATTCTTAATGAAGTAAAGTTGCAGTCTTTCTTTGAATGTGTTTTCATTTACGTAATACTCCACACGAACTCTGAAAATAGAAATACAGAAAAAGAATAACCCAAAAAGGGAATTAAAGCAATTAGTAGTGATTATTAAAAGAAATAGTATAAGCAGCGCGAATTTATATACAGTATATGAGGATAAAAATATCTCAAGCACACATAATTTAATTAGCGAGTACCAAATTAAAATTTTCTTCCCCATAAAATTCTATTGCTAAAGATATGCACACTTAAAAACGGATATATACTCAGCAATACATATGTATGTATGTATATGAAAGTATATGTTCAAATATTTACAGAGCTACGCGACAGTCCAAAGGATTTACTTTTCATCAAAAGAAAGTGTAATTGCCAAAGACGTTGAAATCTTGCGGTTGTACAGGGGAAAGGATGAGTAAAAACTAAGTGTATATCAGACGTGCTGGTACCACAATGAACCAGTTGTGAACTCTCTCGGCTATGATTGCCCTAAGTTGCTTGATATCGCAAAAAAAAAAATTGAATAAAATAAAATAAAACAAAATAAAATAAAATAAAATAAAATAAAATAAAATAAAATAAAATAAAATAAAATAAATAAAATAAAATAAAATAAAATAAAATAAAATAGAGAGAAAACAGACTACCTACCTCGCAACCTTGCGATCGACCACAACACGTTCGAGATGGGAAATAACTATGAAGCCAAATTATTAAAGGTTTAAAATTTAATAAATTTTACTTTTTCAAATTTTTTCAAACTTTTGGCATTTTTTAATATTAAATGAGGCCCACATTATTCATTTTTAGAAGCTTGTTGGAAAATAGCTCGAAAGAAAAACTCACGCATAGATGCATATCACTATTTTTCAGATGCCTTTAATATTTTGTGCGGCTTATAAGCACGAACTCGCGTTGCCTGCAGCTAAGCCGTGTCTATCCGACATGCATCATCGCTTACTCGGTTTATCTAGAGAACTACATATTTATCATATAAAGTTTTGAAATTTTCTTTCTCACTTACGCCAGCAGCAATGGCTGTGTGTACGCACGTACGAAAGTATTTTACGCGTGTGTGTATGTATGTGTTTTTTTCTTTAATACACAACTATTGTCACTTTTTCTATAAATTCTAGTGACATTTTACACATACACTCACACACTCATGCACTCGTATGCGCATTCACATTTCGCGTGCTTACACGTGCCACACGCGCGCCGTTCATTCTCTCTTTAGCAGTACCAGCAGCTGTAGCAGCAGCAGCAGGAGCTCAACGGTATTTATCTTTAGCATTGCACTTGAAAATGTCAACCGTTTCTTTTTCTACAATTGATAATGGCTGCAGTTAGTATGCTTTAGCTAACTCTTCCACACTTGAGTGTGTACATACACACATGAGTATATACATATGTACGTAAGAATATATGTATGCGCATATGTATGCAAGTGCTGGCTATTCTCGGCACTTTAGTCACTCTTCTGTGTGTTGCTCCACTTTTAGTCGCGTGCCTTTTGCGCTGTTTCTTATCTCCATGATGCCCCTCATGTAGTTTTATGACATATGTACATATGTAAATATGCGCGGACGCATACTGAACAGCATCACTATTTACTGAATTGCTTTGAGCAACATTTTCTTTTCTACTGCTACTTTGATTCTTCTATTCTTTGATTTTTTTTCGTATTTTTTTGCAGCTCATGGCACTCGAAAAGCAGATGTGTCGGGGTTACGCTGAAGTATTTGGCAGGCGTGTTTTCGTGTATAAAAATGTCACGCTGTAGAAATGTGCGAGGGAAATAGTGAGGCAAAGTAGTGAAAAGTTGCTCGCGGCAAGCTCGTCATAGCTTTCGAATTTTATTTTTGTCAAATTGTCACTTTTTGTTTTGGAAACGTTTTTTAGCCAATTTTTTGGTTCAGTTTAAAGCAAAAAAAAAAAAAAAACTGCAGTTAAAGCTTTATTTTTTAAAGATTCTTTAATTTCTGGAAACTAAAATCGAATAATAAAATAAAATTCTTTAAATTTCAGCAGAAAGTTGACGTATGAGGTAGAGGACTTTTGTGTTCTTTTTTTGTAAAAACCCATTTGCTTGTGATGTTGTTTACTTCAGAGCCACGAAACTTTGTGATGCAATTTTAGCCTTTCGAAAACCCAATAAAACACGTTTTTTTTTATCGGCCTCTATTTTCATTGAAGCGGATATTAAAGCTAACGCAGAAACCCAAAGTATTCACTTTCCGACCTTAACTCATCTACAAACGGATGTTTCATGGTTAGCCTAAGAATATTTGATCTAAGGTCGGATGTGGTGAGTTGCTTAAACTTTATGTAAAAGAATAGTCTCTGGCCAATCCCTGGTGAAAAATTTGCTATTACTTGCTTGAAGTTGTCCACATGTGCACATACTCGAGTTTCATCAAATATTTACAACTTGTAAGATCCTTGCAAATTTTCATCCTTACAAACCTCTTTTGTTGACTTTCCTGTCGTCCTTGTCAGCACGAAAAGGAGCTGCTTCTATGCTTCTAATTGTGAATTTGGTAACCCTCTTCTTGCTTCACTTTTAGTGTACGAGCTCGTATGTTTTGATATCTTACCGCCTCCATATGACAGATGTGTTATTACAAAGATCTTTTATGTGACGTCAGAATTACACCTGGAGGGGTTGACATCATTGCAGGCATGACTTTAATGCTGGTATAGGCTGACACTGTGCATTAGTGAAAGCTTGGTGAGAATTGAGAAGGAATTCTTCGTGTAGTTCGGTGCCAAACGAGGCTTTAGATAAGGTGACTTACTATCCTGTGATTTCTTCAACCACACGACTAAAGAGAGTTTTGCTCATTTCAGACTCGATAAGGAAGCGATATGAATGGCTGTGTTAGTGAATGAGGAAGAGTCGAAATATCTGCCTAAGGCTTGTTTAGACTGTGTAGGTTAAGTAAAGTTAAGTCCTCTAATGACGAACAAAGACTAGAGTTACATATCTTTCACATTTTCAGTCTGCATTATTTTGCCGGGGAGTGTATGATAACTGAGATGTGAGAAACTTTCGAGATCAAAGTTTAAGGAAGGGTTAATGGTTCTCGCCCCATTGATGAGAGCGAATATAACAGATGATGGAGTGGATGAGCTGTACTGCGATATCGACAAAGAAACACTGTGTAGCTCATGCTGCCCCTATTAGTGAGAGCAATTTTGGAAGTATCTGATGTAGTATCCGCCAGCGGGGAAAAAGTAAGGCAACATGCTCCATAATAAATATTAGGTTGGGAAGGACCTTGCATCACTTGGTAACCCTTATTGGTGCCGAATGCATTGAAAAAAGTGATTGAAATGCTATATTGTTCATTCGGTAATAACTGCAGAAGGCAGAAGAAGAAGAAGAAGATATGTTGTTTGTGATCATTATATTATCATAGAAATACGGTGTCCTGCGATTATATGGGAGTTGAATGCCAGCGTTGTGGCAAAAAAAGTCTCCTGAACCCGGCTCAGAACATCATCTCTGTGTATATCGGATCAGATGTACCTTCCAGTTGCAACTCTGGTCATCGTAAGATCGGCCCAAAGATGCTTAAAAAATAGCAAAACTAAATACATCAGTATTTTTAAATAAGAATGAAACCGACACTATAAGAATCGAGAGAGCAGGTGCTCAGATCGTTGAACCGAAAGCAAGACGAGAATTTCAATATGGCCGAGCTGAATAGAGACGGTACAAGCGAATGGGAGTGATAGTGAACGAGACATACATATCTTGTCGTCAAATCAAATCAAATCGGCTCCCACGTCGCTGTTGACTGTCACAATTTTGAAGTTATAGATAACTTTGTCTATCTAGGGAAGGCACTAGCATAAACACAAATAATGTCGGCTCCAATTCCGCGGAATCACCCTTGATAACAGGTGCTACTATGAACTCAGTAGACAATTGAAATGTACAGTCCTCTCTCGACGAACGAAAATCAAACGCTACAAATCGCTCATCATACTCGGCCAATTATATGGCGCAGGCACGTGGACGAGTTGGACATTCGATATGTTGGCTTTGGGATTCTTCGAGCCAAAAGTTGGCTAGGTCATGTCGTCCGCTTGAATGAAAACTGTCTAGTTTTGAAATTCTTCGATGCAGTACTCGCTGGTAGAAGCAGAGCAAGAGAAAAACTCAACTCCACTTCAATGGAAATATAAGGTGGAGAGCGACCTGGCCTCACTTGGTGTCATACTGCGAAGGGAAGCCATGAATTAAATAAATAGACAAGTACGCTAGGGAAATTTAAGCTTACCTAAAGCTGTCTGTCGAAACGAATTTTGAGTGAAGGGAAAAATGTTTTCTGGCATAATAAAAAGCCTTGAAAATAAGGAAAGGAGTAGACTTAGGAAAGTGCCTTAATCACCGTCAAGAAGATCTAAGCTCTTGCCGTAGACTTATGGTGTTCCCTTCCGCAAAATATGAACCATAAAACAACAAAATAATATTACGTATATGGCTTTGGTGGCGGTGGCTGAGGCATTCGGAAGGCTCGGGTTAAAATCCTGGTGTCGGACAAACATCCAAAATGCTTTAGACAATTCATTTAAATAACAAATAAAGTGAAATTTTCTAAATACGGTGGCCCCTCCGCAGCGAATGTTAACCCCTTCTTGTGTATACCTCACATGAAATAAAAGCTCCCAATAAAAAATCATCAAACGTTCGGAGTTGGCCCACCTTTTGTTGAAAAAAACATCCAGTTGCAAAACCACAAAGCGCCAAATATATATATATATATAATATGTCGTTATAACAATAAAAAATATATTAGTTACTAGATAACCACAGTTCATTTGCGAACAATAGCCAATGGGAATCGTAATATGAACACAAGAAAAAAAAGTTGTAAACTTTTGTAAAGTAAAAAAGCGTATGTAAACATAAAATAACAGAGTATTTTATACGCAAATAAATAATCATTGTAATGATCTTAAACTGTATAAACACCTAGCGCAAATAAAATATGAATGGGGTTGAGAAAAATTACTTCGGGGCACGCAAAACTGT